TTGAAATGGCCCAACTCACTGGAGTAACCTTGATGTGCTCCTGCTCCCTGCCACACTGTGCTTCAACTAGATTTTAGTTAACCACACAGCGTGCAGTACATGAGCAAACCACACATGTGGACACACAGGCCTCCAGAAACCTAAACTTTCCAGTAAAGAATATTAAAGCTCTCACTTTAATTTTATTTTAGCTTTCTTCTAATTTTGTGGGTTGTGTTTGTCTAGACTAACCTCTCAGTGATCGGGTTATACCTCAGCAGGGTCAGCACGAGGAAGACCTCCGCACAGGAGATAACATATTTTCTGGTATAAAGAGCCACACTCCTGTTTCCCAGATGCTAGTGTTTCATCGTCATCTGTTCGTCCAAGAGGAACCTCCAAGAGGCAAAGTGATAGGTACCATCATTGCATCGGGCTTTATTGTCTCAGAGGGCATGGAGGAAGAGGGGGTGACTGAATAAGAAGCTGTCAAGGCAGGAAGGCACAAGTCGCTTGTATAGACAAGCAGCCATAAGGGTTTTCCCAGGTGCTACAGCTTATTTCTTAGTGTACGAAGAGGGCTGCTCTCCTGCAGGGTTAGTGCAGCACTCTGACACAGGGATTAAGCTGAGTTTACAGCCTGGGCTCTGAGGCTTAGCTTAAGGTTGCCACACATCACAGCCATGCAACTGGGGCTGGAAACCCTTTCTGAAGCTGCCCCAAGGGACGGTGAGAAATTTCTAGGACTGAGTGTCCTCAGCTGGGTTGTTTGCTGTTACCTGGCACTTTTTTTTTCCTTGCTGGCTCACTTCATAAATGCCAAGAAACCCCTCTTGGCTGTTCAGTGATGATGTTATTGGCAGATGCTTTACTATAATCTTTGCCATGCCCTTCAGAGATAGTCAGAGTATCCAAGAGCACTCTGTGCTTCCCACGTATCCTGACGAGGAAGGAGCAGACATAAACCCCCAGGGCTCTTCTAACTCCACTTCTGACGCACATTCTGTGGATAAATGTGCACTTCGGCGATAAAAGCATTAAGAAAAGACAGCAAGAGCTTTCTACAAGACCTGCCAGTTCTGGCCATGATTGAAGATAGGCTAGCAGGTCAATAAAGTTAGTGGGAAATGGTTTTCCAATACTTAGTTTTCCTTTTATTTTTTTTTTTTTTAACCTCTTCTCCCCCTCCCCCCGCCCCAGTATTACTGGACTTGCTGGAAGACTGAATATCCTGATATCACTGGCAAGGGCACAGCTACTGCAGCCACTGGAAAAGCCAAAATGAATGTATCTGATAAAAAGCTTAACCCTACATTGGGCAGATTAAATATATATATATAAATATATATTTAAAACCCGTTCCCATCAGCTGGATCATTTGTTAGGTTCCAGCATGCAGGCTGGTACAAGCCTGCAGGTGTTCTCAAAGTGCACACAAGGCACACAAGGCAGTCCTGTTGCCTTCGCCTCGGAGACTCAGGCAGCAGGCACCAGCCAGGCAGCGTAAAGGAGCGAGCTGCCAGGCCTTAGAGGAAAGCAGACTTGCTTGCAAATTTGCTCTGAGCTAAACAGACACCAGGTTGGTCAAGTACCTAGGCGAACAGGCCTACCAACCTCAAATACTCACTCACTGCTGAGGAAGAAATTAATTTCTTTTTTTTTAATTGACCTTGTGACCAGCTCTTGACAAGAGTTATGAAATACTCTGCTCTCATCTATGCACCCTCTGGTTCTCCAGAAGCACAGGAGGAGAGCAGGTTTAGCCTATGGCCGCATGTACACACAGTGTGGTCGGATGCAACACTTGTTAAATAAGAGACCAAATCAACAGGGAAATATTTGGAAGTATCGGAGTGGTGTTAACAGAGCAGGAGGAGAGAAAACAAGATCACTAATGAGAACTGTATGTCCCTTTAGTACCAAGCATAATAGGGTTGTTTGCCTCCCAAGGCAGCAATTTTTAAAGTCATACCCTCCGTAGAGCAGCTTAAATTGTGTTTAAGTGTGCTTCCTCCCCCACCAACGTTTATGAGCTTTCTGCTCGGAGAGGATGCCGACACCACGCCGTGGCTCTGCATACCCGCACGGGATGCTGAGAGCACAGAGAGGGGAGAGCTGAGCCCTTCTGCTGGGTAGAAATCCTTCAGATCCAGAAGGGAAGCGAGGAACATTTGCCTCATGAGGAAGGTGCTGCGGTGTGAACAGCCCAGCAGCGCTTGTTCGAGGGTACGCACAGGGAAGTGTGACTTGGCTTAACCCACAGGGGAAGAGCTCGGCTAAGCTGAGCTCTAGGGAGGGTGCCCTTCCCCCAGGAGAGCTGGCCTTAAAAAAAAACAAAAAAAAAAAAAAAAA